GTATACTGCGTTGCTGTTTACATGCATGAAAAGTGTGTTTGAGAACGAGTCTGATTGCACTTGCAGAACATGGCAAAAAATGTGGATATAGTAACTTGACACACCCCAAACGCCCCTGGGTGACACATTATGAAATTGGAAGGTAGGGCTGGATTCTGACTGCCCAAGCCAAGCAGAGTCCTGGCCTGACATCAGGATCCTTTCTGGGATCCTTTCCTCTTTTTTGACCAGCCTGGTTTTCCTGGGTGGGTCTCCCCTTGCCCGCTCAGCCTCACCATGCCCAGTCGGGTGGGCTGGATTAGTTTGTTTCAGAGAATTCTCAATTGTGTCCTATTGGGTGCTTTCCAGTCAGCGGTATGTGAGCTCATAAAATAGACCTAATTTCTCTCATCTTCTCTTCAGTGTCGTTCACGTGCTTCAAATTTCCCTACGCAACATCTTCTAACGTGAGTTCAATGGAAAATGATGCTGATTATTTTTTTCCATATGGCAGGTCCTGGAGGAGTGGCGGGCATTTGCGGCTGATCTTGCAAAGGCAGAGCGACAGGTTGAGGCTGCACAAAGTGCATTCGCATTTGCATTTGTCGAAGGAGCACTTGTAAAGGTTCGTTGTCAACCCATACTCCTAAAGCTTAGTCGCCCTCCCCGTGACGCTGCGCACCGAGACAGTTGTTTTCAGGAACATTGGGCCATAGGATCTTGATCTTTGCGGCTGCTGTTGCCGGAGAACTGGATTCTTAACGGTTTTGCGAGCTCTGCTTTTGCGGCACGTTGGCTTTTTGGCGTGCTGTTGTGTCGAGACGTGTGTGCCCTCTTTGCTTTTTGTTCGTGTTTGTATTGCGTTGCCGTCGTTGATTTCTCCGCTATCTAGCGATTTCGTCGTGATATTGGGTGTGGTGTTTGTGCAGTTTAGCGGCGTTGTGTTTTTCTGGATGGATGTGGTCTCGATATAAGATGCGATGCTCTTGGCCAAGGTTCAGCATCCTCTGTGGTTTGTGTTGCTCTGGATGTGGTCTCGATATGAGGCGCGATGCTCTTGGCCGACGTTCGGCGTCCTCTGCGGTTTGTGTTGCTCTGGATGTGGT